GCCCTGGTTTTCAGGTCGTCAGGCTGAAACAGCCACGGGGCCTGTAGGCCCTGGTTTTCAGGCTGTCCGGCTGACACAGACACAGGGCCTGTAAGCCCTTGTTTCTAGGTTCTTAGGCTGAGACTGCGGGACAGGCCCTGCAGGCCCATGTGGCTACACAGATGCCACACCCCTCCTTCCTTGAAAGACCGAGCTTACTTGCGAGGGCGAAGCTGTCCGTCTGAGGGAGGGACCACAGTCCGGGTGGGAGGGGCAGGTTTGCGAAGCGTTCTTAGCTGGTCTTCGTCGCTCGTAATCGTCGTAGATCAGCGGTGCAGATGCTTGCAAATCTGCGAACTTGGTGTCCAAAATGTCGAAGGACACGAGGCCTCGCTTACATGTGGAGCAGGGTCGCCTCTCCGATCTGAATGCGTATGTACAACAACGGTGCGTCGATGTCGTTCTACCGTTGTGTCTTGAACTCGCGGTCGATCTTCGCAACGTAGTCGTGAAGGTCGACAACCTCTACTCCGGCGTCCATCAACGGAGCTGGTACTACAGTGTGCAAGTAATCCCACAATTGTGCCTTGAACACGTTGCAATGCGGTTTCGGCAATCGACCGGTCGGGGAGCGGGCATCCATTGGAAGTCCGCGAACGTCAACGGGTCGAGCTCTTCAAGTCTTGCCCATGACGTCGAATCCCCGGCGATAGATGGCGGCGAAGCTGCCGAATCGGTTGCCGATGCCGCTAGCAAGGCGGCCAAATCTGGCGGAGTGAGAGGTGGAGTCGCCTCACCTCCCGCGCAACTCAGTTTCCCGAGCTGTGGTACTTGCTGTCCATTTCCGGCCGGCGATGCGGTTTTCGCCTTCCCTTTTCTCGAGAATTGTTGGCTTCGCGGCTGGACGGCGACCACCTGATCTTCCTCACGTGATGCTTGGGTGGCTGCTGGGTCTTCCACAATGGTGTCCGGTTGGACTGCAGCGACATGCTGCGGACGCGGACCAAATTTTCCCTTCTCCACATGGGCTGGCTGGCACGCTGTCTTCTCGTGTGCAGCAGCCCGGTTGGTCTTGATGATCTCTCGGATGATTCGAAATGTCGTAACTTGAGCTTTTCGATGCTAGTGGCTTCATGCCACTGTAGCAGATCCTGGGCTTCCTTGCGGTGTGCCTGGGTATCTGCGTCTGCTTCGGCCTGAAGCCGCTGCTTTTCAGCTGCTGCCTCTGCTTCAACCTGTAGGCGGGCAGCCTCGGCTGCCGCCTGACGCTGTTCCTCGGCCTTAATCAATACGAGCTGAGCTTGGAACCGCTGTCGGTACTCCGTAATGGACTCATTTGCCAGTTGGTCTGGCATGCCCAGAACTGAGCCCGTCATGGTGGCGGGGCACTGCTGACGTGCACTGTGGCACTGCTGACGTGGCACTGTGACTGACGTGGCACTGCTGATGTGGCACTGCTGACGTGGCACTGTTGCTGACGTGGCACTGTTGCTGATGTGGCACTGCTGACGTGCACTGCTGACGTAGCACTGTTGCTGACGTGGCACTACTGACGTGGCACTGTTGCTGACGTGGCACTGCTGACGTGGCACTGTACCAACTCGGAAATGCATGCAAAGGGGAGGGTGGGAGGGAAAACGCAGGTAGGAAACCAACCCAACAATGCTTTCCTCCGACCCTAATCAACAGATAAATAATAAAAAATAAAAAAATAAAAAAAAGAGGACTACTTCCTTTTTTTTTCTTTTTTTTTTTTTGTATCTGTCGATCTGTTATGAGTGAGACATGTCAGAAGAGTACTATGAACGAGATCTAGGCTAGGTTCCGCAAAGTTTCGGCTTTCACAAAATGCGATCTTGAAAAAAAAAAATTTGCGAAATGGAGTAAAGATGCGATTTTCAGAAAAGAACGAAATCCAGTTTCTGAGAATATGGCAATCTCCGAATATGCCTAACGAAATGTTGGTAGAATTCGCAAGATTTCGCTTTTCAAAAAAAATTTGCGAGATAGAATGAAAATTCGATTTTCTGAAAAGAATAATTCCGGTTTCCAAGAATATGACCACTTCTATCGTTATCCCAATATGCCTAGAAAACGAATACTAACATCAGAAAATTTCAGCTATGTACTTCATTCTTGCATAGGATGGAGGCGGTCCAATTTTTCAGTCATGAAGGGTCATCCTGGATCAGTCTACAGGATCCAGAGACTGCTCAAGAGCAGACCTTTATGGTCGGTACGAAAAATGACTTTAAGCATCAACTATCTGCTAATTCGATCAGAAGGGAGGATCTGCTGAAAGGGTTAGGAGACTAAAGGAGAAAGGAATACGAGAAGCAAAAGAAGTGATTTCAGTGGGAATCAATCAAGTTTCGAAAATGATGAAGGCCCTTGGTAAACTCGAGAATGAGGATGGGCAAATTGAAGCCTTCAAGAAAGTTGTGGAAACTGCTAAGGAAGGAAAGATGGAATTGAGATTTGCATCGACTCACCCTTTTTTAGGAAAATAGTCACTGGGTCAAAAAGAAAGTACAAGCCCAAGGGGGTGAAGAAAAACCCAGTGGCAGTCTTAATAGAGAAAGATTATGATGAAGCATTGGAAAAGGGAAGGCAAATTATAAGAGCATTGAGAGAATCAGCAAAACTGGAGAATAGTCACCAGAGAAAGGTTTGACATAATGAAGATAGGCTCGGATCAGTTTATCCTGCCTAAAGAGAAAGAATATATCTGCAGGATGTGTCAGAAATTCTTTGGTTCTTTCTCCTTTAATGATGAAGAGAGGGGGCGATTGGACGTGGACATGATCAAGATGGCCAAGATTTGGACAGTTGACAATGTTCCATGAAATGATAGACCAACCAAGTATGCCTTGAAGGAAGAGGCAGAGGTTGTGAAGTATCTTGACAAAAAGATTGCGTCTAATGTTGTTGAACTTGCTGATGGGCCGTATGCTAACCACTGGTTTTGTTTCTGGAAACCAGGGGGCGGGCTAAGATGGATACAGAATCTTCAGAAGCTCAATTCTATGACGGTACGTGATGCAGGTAGTCTTACTAATGCTGATCTCCTTGCTGAATTCTTTGCTGGTCGATGTATTTATTCTCTAGTTGACCTGTATTCTGGTTATGATCAGTTCCCCATTGATCCCACTAGCCGACCGATGACTGCCATGCACACGCCAAGGGGGCTTGTTCAGATGTGTGTGGTACCTCAAGGCTCGACTAACGGGGTAGCAGTGGTTCAAAGGGATATGATCAAAGTCATGCAGGATATTTCTCCTGAAATAACCAGTCCCTAAATTGATGATAATCCTGTAAAAGGACCCTTCATAAGGGATGAAACTTTGGTCGCAGGAGGAGTCTAGAAAGTTTGTCTGGGAGCATCCTGAAGGTGTAAGGATGGTCCTAGAGAGGCTTCGGAAGTATAATACTGAGGCTACCTACTCCAAGACTGTCAAACTCTACTTTTGGCCTGGCATGAGAGATATGATTTTCAGATACTGTAAATCGTGTGTCTTATGTCAGAAGAGGTCTACCACGAGGATGATTGAGCCCCTATTCCCTACAATCCTGGTAGAGCCAGGTAGCAGAGTTCATCTGGATCTCATCACWATGCCTCCAGGCAAGGGTGGGATGAGATACATACTAAACATGAGAGATAATTTCTTTGGATACGTTGAGGCAAAAACTCTGAAAAGGAAAACAGTCGAGCAAATAGCTGATTGGATAGAGGAAGTATATCTCAGGTATCCTTTTATCAGAGAATTTATCTCAGACAG